ACCAGCACCCCCAATCAGTAGGAAGTAGCCTAGAAAACTATACCCACATTCCCCTCAAATGGATTATGGATGTTTGTCTTTGTTTAGTATGTTGGTTGCAAGTGATTATGAATAATGGTCAGGAAAAAAGGTAAAAAAGGAAATTAGATTCAGGGTTCTTGTTTTGAAAAGAAAAAAAGGGGGAAGCGCTGTGGGATAATGTTCTTGTATACTGTAAAGATTTGTCACTCATATTGGTTTAATAAAATACTGATTGTCCAGTTGCCAGGTAGGGTGTACAGGCGGGTGACCAGACTAGGAGAATTCTGGGAAGAGGAAAGGGTGAGTCTGCAGGCACCAGCCAGAAGCAGCAGAAGCAAGATGAAAATGCTGCACTGAGAAAAGGTTCTAAGCCATGTGGCTAAACGTAGATAAGAATTATGAGTTAAGTTGTAAGAGCTAGTTAATAATAAGCCTGAGCTAACAGGCCAAACTTGAAAATTAATATAAGCTTCTGTGTGTTTCTTTGGGACTGAACGGCTGCAGGACTGGGCAGGACAGAAATGTCCATCTACAGTTTCCTCATCCAGAAAACGTAAAAATGCAATTACCATGGCAGCCTTGTTGTTGTGAGAATGCAGATGAAACAGTGCAAAAATTTGATGCATCAATATAGAATCAGGATAGAATGGTAGAAAACTTGTGTTTGGAGTTGGACCTGAGTTTTCCCAGGCTCACCCTGTTACCAGCTGTGTGGTCTCAGCTCAGTCATGAATCTCCATTTTTCATTAAAACAGAATCAACAACATCTACCCATGACAGGAAAACTGGTCAGACATGGTGACCCGTGTGCCCTGACACACTGTCAGCAAATGTCATAAGTCCTGCCTCTCCTGTTAGCTCAAGTTCCCCAATCAGAGACTGCAGGACTCCATAGAAGACTGAAGACATATGCTTAAGCAATTCGTTTGGTTTAAAATTTGACCCATTTATTTCTACCAATCCAGTCTTGAGAATTAGTTGATCAGATTAGCCTGTAGCTAGTCATTATAAAGGAGAGTTCCCAGTTTAGGCATGATGGGAAAGCAGATCTATCTATAGTCTTTTCAAACCCATGTCTATCCCATGGAACATAGTTATAATACTATGAAATATATGTTACCATAAATATAAGGAATATGGATATATTAGAATTATGTTTTGTTTACTTAAGTAGTGATTCTCTGTGTGTTTTTTGTCAGGGTGGGAAAATTTGGCAATTTTACCACAGAATGAATCTGTTTTAATTGGAAGGGATTCATTTGCCAATATGCCGTCAGGGTGGGCAGGAAAGATAACTCAGTAGAGAGAGCACTGGGTGCTCCTCCAGAGGACCTGGCTTTGATTCCCTCCAGTCACGAAGCTGCTCGTAACCATCTATATCTCCAGTCCCAGGAGATTTGGACTCCTCTTCTGGCCTCTTCTGGTACCACCCATGCATGTAGTACACAGACATTCTTTCATGTAGGCAAAACACCCTTATACATAAAAAAGTAAAAATAAGTTTAAGGTAAATGCTCTGAGACCTGGCTTTGTCGAGGACAAGGAGACATGATTGAAGAGTTGCCCAGTTCCCTCTTGCAGAACTCGGGCAAACCAGAGCCGCAGACATAACTGGGATGGGTGTGGCTTAGGCAGCAGAGTACTTGACTAGCGTCATGAAGCCCTGGGTGGAATCCCCAGCCCCACATAAACCCGATGTGATGTCATTCCAACACTCTGGAGGTGAAGGCAGGAGGATCAGAAATCCAAGGCTACATAAAGAGATAGTCCAACCTGGGCTACATAAGACCCTGTCCCCCTCCCCCCAAATGAGGGGGAAACAACAATAATAATGAGAGATGAGAAGACCTCTTGGTCCTGGCCCTGTTATTAACTTACTGTTTCATATGGCCTGATTTTATTTCAATCCACTAATTAGAAAAATGGCTTTGAGAAGATTGTTTCTGTTGATGCCAGGGTCACATAGCCTACAGGCACAGAATGATCTGCCAGACAGCACACGTGCACATAAGGATTTAATGACATTTTGTACGGATTCTGTATTTCTTCCTGAAGTTAATGGACCTGCAATCTGTGGGGGATCTTCTTATAATTTTATTATTATTACAATTACAATTGGATGGGAGTGCCTGCCACAGCATGTAGGGGCATCAGAGGACAACTTTGCTTTTTCTCTTTCGCCTATATATGGGTTTGGGGGGATTAAGATCAGGTTGTGGGACTTGTGTGACAAAAGCCTTCTCCCTTTGAGCCATCTCACTGATACCTCTTCTTTCATGAATTAATTCTTAAAAACCATGTCTCAAGCCAGGTGTTGTGATGGTCACACTCAGGAGAGAGAGGCAGGCAGATCTTTGAGTTGGAGGCCAGTTTGGTCTACATAGTAAGTTCCAGGACAGTCAAGGCTACACAGTGAAACCCTGTCTCGAAAAACAAAACCAAACAAAGAAACAGAACAAAGCAATAACCAAAAAAACAAAAAAACAAAAAACAAAAAACAAAAACAAAAAAAAAAAAACCATGTCTCTACTTCTCATTTGCCAGTTAGTTATGAGAAATTCCAGGTTCCAAACAAAAGGACAATTCAAAGTTCTTCCCCTGAGGATGTGGTTCGTGGAAACAAAGCAAAGACAAAATGGGTAAGAATCGCCCAGAACTGTCTCAAGGGGTAAAGGCTTGCCTGAGTAAATAGTTCAATCTCCAGAACCCACATTGGGGGTGGGAGTCAGGAATGTGGTACATATTGTAACCCCAGACCTTGAAAGGAAGAGACCAGGGATCCCGGGGCAGTCTGGCCAGTTAGTGTAGCCTACTTGGTGAGCTCCACATCAGAGAAAAACCCACTCAAAAATAAATAAATAAATAAATAAATAAATAAATAAATAAATAAATAAA